CGCTAAGCTAACAACTCGGATACCGCTGCTATAGATGTTATTCTTTACGTGTATCATATTAAACATGGCGTAAGAAGCAGGCAAATGCCAAACGAGATATATAATTTGTTAGTGTAGAAAAATCTAAAAAAAAAAAGTTAAACATATAAAGTTCGACATTTCAGGTGGAAATTAAACTGAGAAAAATCAAACCAGCTGCGCTCCTGCATGTACCTGGTTCTTGTGTCATGCTTAATGTAAGAATATGCAAATTAAAGGAAGTTTTGCAATTTTTGAGTCGATTAACTGCCGAGAAATGTCATTAGTCAGCAGCAAAAACTGAGTGCTTTCAGTGAAATTTTGTTTAACCTTTCTACATACATACATATGTCTGTATATTCACCCTTTATTTGCAGCTGCCGAAGATTATAATTATTAACTTTTATGGAAAAAAAACATATTTTTTCCGACATAATAAAACGTAAATCTTCCGTTGTGTAAGATGAATATTTATATAATAAATTAAAGATAAACAAAAAACTTTTACTGTATGTGTATGTATATATCCGTTGACTTTTTACAAAACAACTTATTTCGACTTTCTTTTACTTTCCTTTTAATGTATGATTCTCAAAGGCCGTATTAGTAAACATATTTAAAACATCGAGGGCCGTTTTTCCGATTGCCTGCTAATGCTAATTTAAATATATGATTAATTTGACCTCCTGTTAAATGTTTATTTAGATGAAAGGTTGCAATGCTTCGAAGAGGAAGAAAGGAATAACGTAAATCAGCTGTTCTAAACGAAATAAAGTAAAGTCCACTAAAATCCTCCTAGCAATATTGGGCACAGAGGCTAATTCGAACCTTTCCTCAAGCCTATGAATATAAAATACCCACATACTAAAATAGGCCGTTGAGAAAACTAAAATATGTATAGAGAAGTTAAATAAATGGCTCTGAATTTCTGTTAAAATGGTTCAGATTCATTCTTCTAAAATAGAAAAGTTTGAAATCACATAAGTCGTAGTGTTTTTTTACATTTGTACATGCTTTAATTATTATAAAGCTACCCTATCGATAGAAGTGGGTATCGATACTTTTCGTTCGATACTTAGTATTTATCAACAAAAAAATTCGCTACTATCGGTGTACAACTTTCCTTCCGCCGTTTTTTCCAAAATTAAAAGCTTTATTGCGAAAAAGTTCTTACAGATATATTATTCAAAGTATTGTACTTCGCTAGCGACAACTTTCTCCCATCTTTCCGGCAAATTTTCGGATCCCGTCTCGAAAAAAGGAGTCCTCTTTTGACGCTATCCATGAAGCAATCCATTTTTCCAATTCTTCGAAGGATTGAAAATGTTGATCTGTCAGGCCGTGTGCCATCGAACGGAATAGGTGGAAATCAGAAGGGGCGACATCGGGGGAATACGGCGGGGGGGGCAAGACTTCCCACTTCAGCGTTTCCAGGTACTTTTCGACCGCTTTTGCGACGTGAGGCCGAGTATTGTCGTGTTGGAGGATGACTTTGTCATGTCGCTCTTGACATTATGGTCGCTTTTCTTTTAGCGCGCGACTAAGGCACATCAGTTCACCCGGTTTTGAGAGCTCGTAGTAAATCTTTGAAGGATCTCCATAATTGTCTTCGACATCGAAATTACCATTTTTAAAACGTTCAAACCACTCCCGACACGTTCTCTCACTCAGAGCAGCATCACCGTAAGTTTCTGAGAGCATTCGATGCGCTTCAGCTGCATTTTTTTTTCGAATTGTAACAGAAAAGTAAAACTTCCCGCAAATGGCGAGAATTAGGCACTAAAACGGACATTTTTGAGCGTGAATAATACGAAAACAAGAACAACTGTCACTGAAACGGCGATAACAATTCGTTAGGCACTGTCCACACTCACTTTAAAGGCATTATCATCTATGTATTTCAACCAACCTCAACCGGTTTCTTTAATGTAATTCAACCGAAGCTTCAATTCCCTTTCTAACGAGTAACAATTCTTATGGTTTGTTGAGAGAGTTTTAACAACGTCACTAAAGAAATTTTCGTTGCACACTTGTATTTTTGTCTAATCTATATTTTCATTCAAACAAGTTGGAGCTCCCGGAAGGAAATTGGTGGAAGCTTTGCGTTGGGGACTGCGGATGCACCTTTCGCCTCCATTTTAGTTTTAAAACATTAAACATAAAATCACTTTAGCTGTTATAAAGTGCCAATTATGTAACTTTCTTTAGTTCTGAATTTTAAAACATAACTTCAGTTATATTGGAGGTATTTGAAAGAATAGTCTGGACCAATGAAAGGAAAAGTAGTGTTCGCTCTAATCTGAGTAAAAAGCTACATACAATTGACTCGTACATACGTATGTATTTACCAAATTTGAAGTAATTCGAATGTAGATATAGATTTAATATTGAGTTTACTGTAAGGTCCTCTAGCAAAAATTTATAATTTCGTAACCAATAAGTGAAGCGATCTTGTCATTCGAATCGCTGATGGATTTTTATGAGAAGCCTTTTATTTCATGTCAGGAGTACTCTCGAAATGGTTGACATTCCCTATCGAGAAGCGACTGCAGTGTACCTCTCGGCTACTACGACCAACAACTATTAACTAAAAGTTAAAACAATTTTCTGCCTGTTGCGTGGTGGGAACCACCCCTTTCAGCAACACACCGTCATTTTTCTGATGTGAAGCAGAATTTTTATTTCTATAGGATTTCACCGCAGTAATTTATTGCACTCCTTGCCAACGCAGTCCACTTCAATTTCATTCATTCTACTTAAATTGCGGTCGGCGTTTTAATTGAATTACACAATATACATATGTACGTGTTTTTTTTTTTTCAATATATTTTATTTATTTTAATATGATTTTAAGGGAAGTTCATACGCTGCCGTGCTAAACAATAAGCCTACTACAAAGGAAATAAAACATAATGTTGAAGTAGGACTTGACAACCGTAAATTAATAAGAACAAATATTCCATAAGCATTCCCTCAACATTGCAGAAATTAATATAATCTCTAAAAAAAAGTGATCAGTCTGTTTTTATAGTAAACTTATTCGGTACCAAAAAATTTCTATCTATGTATGTACATACATATATCATATAACATTGCGGTAAAGTTTGGTGCATCTACGGGCTTGTCTTTTTTTAATACCGGTTAGTTTTCAAGTTTGCGAAGTGTAACAGTTGCTATAAGTTTTGAAAGACGTCACTTCTACTATACATGTACAGTTATAAATAATCTATTAATAGTATAGAGTAGTGGTATAATGATACTTTAGTATTTAGGTCGATACAATAACGGAATAAGACTATTTAAACTTCATAAACCAAAAAGTTATTTGACATCGTTTACAACGTTCAGACCTAATATAACCATTGGGTACATAACCGTTTGTGTTTATGTATGTACATATATAATGAACGATGCAAAAGTCATAGCCCGTAAGCATAATAGTACAGTTATATTACTACTAAAAAATAAGCCTTTTGAGGGATTGGAAATTGAATAACAGAAGAATAGAAAATTGAAGCCTCACAAATAACTAAATAAAAGTATAATGCAAAAGCAGTATAAAAAACCATTAAAAGAAATTTCGTGTTATGCATACGTACGTATAAATGTATTTTAGCAACAGGTAAAGAAAACCAAGGTTCTCAATATTTTCGAATTTATTCCAGACATGGAAATTCCATTCCATTCGACTTCGGGTTCCTGACGCTTATAATAACAACTACTATTAAAACCGCAACGTATTGTAAATTGATTAAGTTAAATACTAAACATATCAGGAAAAGGACTGAATTACTCTCAACGCCGACTTATCATATGTTGTCATCGTCCATGCCTCCGTACTATACGGCAAGACAGGAATGATGAGCGACTAATATAGTTTGGTCTTTGCTCGTCCAGAGAGGACCTTATTTTTCAACTGTCTACTCAGTTCAAAATAGGCACCTGTTGGCAAGAGTGATTTTGCGTTAGATTTCAACATTGCTGTTGGTGTTAATGCTGGTTCCAATATAGACGAAGTTTTCTTCGACTTCAAGTGGGCAATTATTATAAGAACTTCTTCATAGTTTCGAGATTTCATCTCCTTTTCTTCCATTTGGCGTTCCACTCAACAAGTTGAAAAATTGCCCCCTCCATAAATTATGTATACTGTGGGCATCAGTCACTAGGTCAACTCTCTGGTTTTTTCAAGAGTTTGCTCCGGTCTTGAAATCTTCTGTGAGTCATCGAATCTTTTCGTATACTCTCTGAGCACTACCATTTTCGGCCAGTTCTTTATGCCCTTCATACTTATACGGAGCGTGCGTACGAAAAAAAAACACTGTAGACATGTCGTTCGAATATCACAATGTGACCGATCCATTGATGAATTTCTGGCCCTGGCGAAGTTGATCTGCCTGAATCCGTTTGGAAATAGTTCGTCGTGGAGCCTGAATTTTTCGACAGTTGCATCGGAGATACCTTCTTTGTCCACCCTGACGTTAAAGCCGTCAAGCACAATTTTCGAGGGCGTTCATAATATGCATTATTGGTTACATCGTTCTTTTCTTCCATCAGAACATAGGTGCAAAACAGCTATATGTTAAAAAATTTCGATTTAATTTGGATTGTGGCAAGGCGTTCATCCACCGGTGTGAATGTCAGTACTCGACATTTATATGTCCGTTGTAGTAAAGGTCACGAAGACCCATCTTCTTCCATCCTTCATCCATCAGCCGTCGCACTTCTTAGACGGAGGTGATGTCAGCACTTATATTTTGGGAGCCATCAACCTGCTGGGTAGCGGCACCAGTATTGAAGTGACTTAAATCAGCAAATCAGGAATTAGCAGTTAAAATCAGAATCTTATTGGGAAGATTATGCGTACATATTTTTCTTGATTTAGAAATATCTAGGATATAATCAAAACTCATGTTCAAAATTAAAAATGTATTTATCGTTATAAATTATATCTCTCACAATTTACAAATCTTGCCCCTTTACAGGATTGACGCGACCGGCCGTTTATTCATTCCCTTCAAGCCAGTATGCATACTCCATGCTTGGTCCTGATATGACACCGTCGTGGTAAGTATTTAAATTTACATAATAGTGCCACAATTTTCCTTCTTAATTGACATAGTTACTGCTTACACGAGTCAACGATAACGCCCTAACTTTCGAGGCTAAAATTATTATTGGCATTAATGCTGGTTCCTAACTAGATAAGCGAAATTTTTTTTCAATAGTAACGTGGAAACCAAGATGCGAGTGCGCTTCTTTTTCCAATTCAGAGTAGCCTGTAATAAAAGATTTCTTATTAGCTCTGAAAGATGTATTATTATTTTCCTTCGTCAGAGCGGCTTAAATACGTCTTCTTCACGTGCTGATGTGGACAATCATCAAACATATTTTGCATCCGTTTCTCAAGTCTTCTCCAAGCCTCACTGACAAGATCCGATTAGTTATTATATATAAGGTTGTCAAATATCTCCCTTCCGTTTTTTTTCTCTTCATTCAATGCTTTATAAAAAGTGTTACAGTGATCGGATTTAGTTAAAATATGCGCCGTTTTGTTCGATGATTTGTTTCCATCTAGACGGCAACTTTATAACACCTTCCTCGTAGAAGGCCCCCTCCTTATTTGCGAAGAATTCGGACAGCCACTTTTCACAAGCCTATTTTGACTTCAGCTTCACACCACCAAGGGCATTCGCCATGGACAGGAACAGGTGGTAATCACTTGGCGCTACGTCCGGGCTATATGGTGGATGCGATAAAACCTCCCATCCGAGCTCCCGTAGCTTCTGACGAGTCATCAACGAAGTGTGTGGTCTGGCGTTGTCCTGGTGGAACACTACACCCTTCCTGTTGGCCAATTCTGGACGCTTCTGGTCGATCGCCTGCTTCAAGCGCTCCAGTTGTTCGCAGTAGAATTAAGCGTCTGGCCATATGGGAGCAGCTCATAGTGGATGATTCCCTTCCAATCCCACCAAACACACAGCAAAATCTTCCTGGCCGTCAATCCCGGCTTGGCGACTGTTTGGGACGATTCACTGGCCTTCGACCACGACCGTTTTCGCTTGATATTGTCGTATGTGATCCATTTTTTGTCGCCAGTCACCATCCGTTTCAGGAATGGGTCGAGTTCGTTCCGTTTCAGCAGCATATCGCAGGCGTTGATTCGGTCCAGGAGGTTTTTTTGCGTCAAATTATGCGGCACCCAAACATCAAACTTTTTTTGTATCCAGCCTTCTGCAGATGGTTCAAAATGGTTTGGTGACAAACTCCCATCTCCTGGGCGATGTCACGAAATGCCATATGCCGGTCTAACTCGATGTATTCCATGATTTGATCGGTATTTGTCGTCACAGGTCTTCCGCCGGCTGGCTTGTCTATGGTGTCGTTTTCACCGGCTCTGAATCGTCGAAACCATTTCTCCGCGGTTCGAAGTGATAGAGTACCATCCCCCCAAAACACCATTAATATCACGGAACGTTTCTCTAGCGGATTTGCCTTTAACGAAGGAAAACTTTAAAATAGCGCGAATTTCGGCGTTAGTGAACTCCATGTTTACACGTCTATAACTGTTGAACACAATATCCAAACTAATCATGCATAACGTTGTTTTATAGATTATGTCAAGACCTTATAATTATATAATATATATTATTATATTATATAATTGGCGCTTTGTATCCGCGACTCTCGGCCGAGCTCCACCTTCCATTTGTGGTTATGCGTCTTGATGTTTTTCCAACAAATGAAGGAAGCTACAGTTTGTACTAAGCCGCCTCCGAACGGCTGATGATTTTTATGAGGAGCTCTATTTCATGGCGGAAATACACTTGGAGGGTTGACATTAGCTGCCAAAGGGCGACCGCAATTAGAAAATTTAGCTCAATTTTTTCCATAGCTTTTTTTTCTGAATGTTACTACGATACCAGGATTTCAACTTGAACTTCCCAAATGGCAGTACGCATTGCTAACCACTCGGCTAGCTCGGCCGCCAGTTGGAATGAAAATTAATCTTCCATACATTAGCCTGGACAAAAGTTTTGATGTGATGCTGGGGAGACGTATACCACTATGTTTAGCGTAACTAATAGATCCGTTTCTTAAATATCGGACTGAGCACACTCAGTTACAATCGCCGGACCCTTTGCAAGTTCTTCGCAACCAAGTTAAAATAAATCGTGGCGAGCCGTTTTCTAAAGCACATTCTAGAGCGCGAGAAGCCTTGTCAGCTCTTAGCTCCAGCCGCTCTGCTGGTTTTTAAGCAAGCAATCGCTATTCGACCTTCTTTATATTCAGATAATAGAACGCTTTTTCCATCGTCATCGGTTGGTGCTGCGGGTGTTACATTTACATCCAAATAACTTGATGTATATTTCTGTGCTGGAATCTAGTACTACCGGCAACAATATTTCGGGTGCCGGCGCAGTCGATTAGCCCCAATCCATTACGGGATTGTGGGGGCTTAATTTTCCGATCAAAGATATCTTCTTATCTGTCCGACCATCGCACTTTTTGCACGGCGGTGATGTCAAACTTTATTCTTACGAGGACATCAACCAGCTGTGCAGCGGCACCCTCGCATTTAAGGGACCGGATACCTCTGATACATGCTCTTAAATCATGAGCATTAAATGTTTGTAGCGTCTCTCATCCGAGGCATGTATACTTTTTTACTGGGGCTGGTTTCTCTGTGTCGAGTGCCAAACTCAGCGCAGGACCTCGCTGGGAGAGTGAGTGTAACGTCTTCACGACCGAGTCCCACTCGCAAGCTCAACTCTAGTGAACAGTTGCTGTAATGACTTCAGCAGACCCTTAAGCCGATCAAGTCGGAATGGCTCCACTGAAGCCTTCTCTCTTTTAGTTTTCACCCAAGGCTTCGCACGTGTTGTTTACCGCATCTTGCACAAGGGATGCTCAAGTAACATAATCACATAGATATAAATTATTAATTTCTATTCAATGTAAATAAATATAATTTTTAACGATTGCATCTTTTTAGGCACACACCATCTGTATATTCAGCAGCCTCTAGTTTTAGAAGTCCTTATCCTTCATCATTACCCATCAACACTACATTAGCAAGGTAATTTTCGTGACATATACACATAGTATGTACAAACATTATTTTAATTATTTATTTCCATTTGTGGAAAAACACCTAGACGCATACCATAAAAGGGGGAGGCGCGGCTTAGTGGATCCAAAATGTAAATTACAATATATACATACATAAATATTTATTTATGTACATGTACAGTCGCTGTCAAAATAAAAGTACCACTTCTCTAGAAATATTACTATCTGTCTCCATAATTTTACGGTCCTGTTACTAGAAGAATACTATCTCAGTAGGTAACAACGTAATCCCAAGATCGAAGAAGAAAAACAGTAACCGCACCTGCAATGGCCAGTCGCATAGCACGGGAAATATACAAATCTCCGTCAGAAATGAAAAAGGAATTAGAACTGCCGATATGCACTGACACAATATGCAGAATACTTACAGAATATAATCTAAAAGCCCATAGTCCACGAAAAGCTCCGCTTTTGACAAATATGTGCCCAAACGGTTGCAGTTTGCTTAAAACCACCTTGAATAACCAATTGAAAAATGACGTTTTATTTTGTGAACATATGAGTCTAAAGTAGTTTTATTTGGTGGAAAGGGTTCTTATGTTAGAAAACTACCAATTTCGAAATTTTACCGCAAAGACGTTAAATCACGAAGGTTCAGGATCATGATATGGGGATGTTTTTCATATTACGGTGTTGGGCCTATACTTACTTACTTACTTTTCTGACGTAAACACCGCTTACGCGATTATTGCCGCTTTACAACAATGCGCCATTCGTTTCTTCTTTTTGCTGTTTGGCTGATTGGAAATACCAAGAACAGCCAGGTGAATATCTGGTCAATGGTTGACTTCCCAGGTTTGAAGCCACACTGATAAGGTCCAATCAGTTTGTTGGCGTTGCGCTTCAGTCTTTCCCATAATACGCTCGAGAGGACCTTATAGGCGGTATTAAGAGGCTTATCCCACGGTAATTGGCGCAGACTGTGGGCTACCATTTTTATGGATTGAATTGCAATCGTCGGACATGCTTTCGTCCGGCCATATTCTGCAAAGTAGCTGATGCATGGAAGTTGTCAGCTCTTCACCGCCATGTTTGAAAAGTTCTGCCGGTAGGCCCTCAGCCCCCTCGAGCGATTGCTATTCGAACTTCTTCCTGGTCAGGTAATGGAACGTCTTTTCCACCGTAATCTATTGGGGTTTCAGGTTCACCATCTCCGGATTCTCCATTTTGACTACTATTCAGCAGGTTGGCTAAGTATTCCCTCTATCTATTCAATATACTCTGGGCATCAGTGGCAAGATCTCCTCTTTATGTCCTACAAGAATCTGCTCCGGTCTTAAAACCTTCCGTAAGCTGACGTATCTTCTCATAGAATTTTCGAGCATTACCCTTGTTGGCGAGCTTCTCAAGCTCTTCATGCTCACGCATCTCGGCCTCTTTCTTTTTTTGTCTGCAGATGCGCCTTGCTTCCCTCTTCATCTCTCGGTATCTATCCCACTCCGCACGCGTTGTGGTCTATCGCAATGTTGCGAGGTAGGTAGTCTGTTTTCTCTTCAGAGCTTGAAATGCCGTTCCACAGTTCAAGTATACCAAGTTGCTAATGAGTGCTCTCAGAGAGCAAGTGTGCAAGTCGAGTAGAAAATCATTCCTTGTGTTTGTTGACGGCGTTCACACAGAGGCGCATGCGTATCTTCGCTGCAACAAGATAATGGTCCGAGTCGATGTTGGGTCCTCGGAGTGTACGCACGTCAAGAACACTGGAGACATGTCTTCCGTTAATCACAACATAGTAAATCTGGTTTTGTGTTTTTCGATCAGGGACAGCCAAATATAGCTTGATATCTTTTTTTGTTAGAAGCTGATTTCTACGTGGCGGATCTCAACCCCAGCGCACAACCTTGGCAGGCGATTAAGTTTAAAGTTTTGTGCACATTTATATAGCGAGCTGCTTTCTTCAAGCCCAATGCCTGCTTACAGCCGCACCTCTGATGAACAGACGCGACGTGGACGCAAGAGTAGGAATTGAGTATAGCGTCGCAACTTTAAAAGCATACCCAGGAGCTTGACCACTCCCGTATAAATAACATAATGGATGCAACAGAATACATCAAAATACTGGAAAAAGTAATGCTGCTTTATCCTTTTGAAAATATGCCACTGATGTGCATGCAGGAAGACAATGGCCCAAAGCATACCAGCAAAATAGCTAAAATGGACAATAATGTATCATTCCCGTGTCTCATTCCATGGCAAACACAGTACCCAGACTTAGGCCTATTTTTTCGAGCGTCTGTTTAAACTTAACTTCTCTTTAAATACGTTTTCGTTTTCTCAGATGCCTGTTTTAGTATGTGGCTGTTAAATTTAACAAGTGGTCAATGAACTTAATTTTTTTTTTCGACAGCGAAATCTGTTCTGCTTGCAAGCAGAAAACATCAGATTTACAAATTTACTTATTTTCTTTTACAATAATAATATCAATATTGGAAAATACTTGGGCATTTCATCTTTGTTAACTGAAATACAGATATTGTTGGTTTTGATAGTGGTATAAGTCAGTGTGTTCACAAAGTAATTTTATTATGTCTTCAGATAGTGGTTCAGGTAGGATGAAGTAAAACTTTTAATGTAAAAACCTACTATTTAAAGTTAATTGTAGACATTTTACGGCGAATAAATGGAAATAATGCTCCCAAGAAAAGGAAACGAATAAGAATGATATCGTCTTCTGATGAATCAAATGCAGAACCCATACAAATGGAAGAGCGCAAAATGAAATCAAGAAAGAGGACACGCAATCCACAGAATTATGCGGAGTATGAAACAAAAAACTCTAAGCACGTGAGTGCTAAACTTTTCGAAAATAAAGATTGTCTTTGTTCCAAAAAGTGTTTAAATGGAATCGGATACGAAGACAGGAAAGATAATTTTGATTATTTTTGGAAATTAGCAAATTCCGAAAAACAGAATCTTTTTATGTGTAGTTTGATTACAAAACAGTTAATAAAACAAAAACGCCCCAGAAATCACAAAGGATATATGAGAAAATGGAGTCTTAAGTTTCATCTATATGTAAGTATAAGTTCGGAAGTTTCTGTTTGCAAAACATTTTTTTTTGGATATTTTCAAAATATCTAACGGAAGATTAAGCCGTGCTTTAAATTCTGAAACACCTGGAATGGATGGTCGTGGCAAAATGGCTAGTTCATCTAGAAAAACAGATGAAGAAAAACTTAAAGTAGTACGAGATCATATTCAGAGTTTTCCAGCATGTGAGAGCCATTAGAACTGAAAGAATCAACGAATAATAGAAAGAAAAACATCAATGGAGAAGCTGTGCCTTGGTTAAAAATACAATGGATCAGATTTCTAAAAAATGCCTTATATAAGATGTTTTATAAAACTTCCTTGGATGACAATTCCGAATTCAAAGTATTAGACCTCTCACCTAAAAAATGAAGACCTAGAATATACGGAAATATTGATTTACTTCCATTATACACAACCAATAGACCAATAACAAAAGAAAAACGTAAAGATGTGATGGATCTACTACCCTATATTCCACCAATTTTTCACAAACACTTTATTTCTCTAAATACTAATGAATAATTTACGTTGTCACAATGAAATGAGTTTGAATAAAACGTTAATTACTAATAAAATTGTTTCATTTTTGGTATAAGTCATTTATAAAGTCATGAAGTTAATTTTGAAAGTGGTCCAAGTCATTTAAACCTTTCAAAACCACATTTTCTTTCAAAAATGGCAATAAATTTCACAATCATAATAAGTACTTGTTTGTTGGGACTACTTTAATGTCGAAAAATCATAATCCATAATGCAAGAATATTTTTTAATCCTTTAAAATACAAAACTCTAAATATCTCGAAACAAAAAAAATATGACTTATATCACTTTCAAAATATGCTTGAGGAATTGTATGAAGAATCCTCTGTGAACCATATTGCTCAGATAAATTTAGGGGAATTTGCTTTATTTTATGTTTAGAGCTGCTGATTTTCGTTGTTGCTTTCTTCTTCTTCGCTGCACTTTCACCTTTTATCTAATATTGAATAAACTTTTAACAGGAGGTCGAGAAAATGAAAGCAAATTTTTCATATGGTTAAATTTAACTGCTTCCTGCTTTTCGTGATCCTCACAACTTCGTCAATTACATGGAAATACGCTGCAAAAAAAGTTATTTCTAACAAGTTAAACGCAACAAAATATTAAAGCCAAAATGAGGGATAATTAATCATATTACTGCTGTAATTAATAACAACATTATTACTTTAATTACTGATGACCACTATTATGTTTAACTACCCCAACTTAAACACACTATTACTTTCTAGTAAATTTATTCTACTACTATTTCTTACTACACCACCCTGCAAAAAAGCTTCTGATCATTTAAGCCAACATACATATTTCAGGAATGCATGATATCATATCCCATCAGCTCGTTGAACGATTTTCCTATCACTTTCTTAATGCCGAAATGACAATTATATACGTGTACGTCATTATCTATTCGATTCCTTGTGCATTTTCGGCATTCTTGTCGGACAAACAGAATACAACCAAGCGACAGAATTGATACAAAAAAAAAACAATATTGACGTAAAAAAACAGCAAAAGTGCCGTGCAAGCCGAACACTGATGAGCGACACAATTGAAGCCAAACGAAACCAGCTTTGGCAAAAACTGTCCCTACATATATAAGGTTGTCAAATATCTCCCTTCCGCTTTTTTGTCGTTTGAATTTCGCGGCTATGTACAAAGCGCTACAGAGCTCGTATCTGGCAACACTATACATAATTTGAAAGGTCTTGACATAACCTACAAAACAACGCTATGCATGATTAGTTTGGATATTGCGTTCATACAAATATTATTAAGATTCAGTCTTTGATTCAATATATTACATAAATCATGTACATGTTTACATAACATACAAAAGAAATAACAATAGAACAATTGAAAACGAATTTATTAAAAAATCATTCAAAAAATATAAGCAAAACCGCATATACATAAGTCTTTAATAGTGCCATGCGTTGGTGACGCGGCTCCTCAGCTCGCCAAATGCCTCCGTCATAATCGCTGCTCATTTGAAATATAAAGACATCTAAGTGGAAAAAAATAATAATGTTCGAATCATAATGTTAATAATGTCTAAATCCAGTTGTACCTTGCAAGGTTTTGTCGAATACTTGTGAATCTGCTACTGCTGCAAGGTGAGAGGCATCATTTCACGTAAATCTGCTCCATTAACTGAGTTGCCCTTAAGTAAAAACAATGTAAACAGTAATGAAAAATGAAGTAGTAAATAATCGACAATATAAATATTATATTTTTACCACAGCTTGTATAGGATCCTTATCCTTACATACATTTTTACGTTCTCTGCTATCTGCTACGGAGAAAACGATGAAAAATGGCTTTCTACTCGAAAGTAAGAACATAAAATAAACGGATAATCCGTTGCATTCTTTATCAATTGAATGTACTCAGAAGACAAAGATAAACAAAATAAAGTGCTTATGGGATGGTGCTGCCCGAAATCGTGTGAGTGTATTGGTAAACCCATCAGCCTGTTCTCGCAGGGTATAAAACTTAAGCTGTACAACACTTTTATCAATAGATACATACGAGGCTTAAACAACGAAGAAGAAACAAGAATATAATAAATAAAT